CGCCCCCGCGGCCTGGGGCTCCTGCCCCTCCTGCCTCCACGGAGCCTCGCTCTACCCTCGCACCAGCTCCGTGGCTCACGCCTCTTCCCAGGGCGGCTCGCGCCAGCTGGCTGGGGATCACCAGAGCTGCCGGCGGCTCTGGACATCACCCCGGTGTCCCAGCGCAGCATCCCGCTAGCCACCTCCTGCTCCTGCTGCTGGGGCACGGGGCGCTCTGACCTGAGCCTGGCGCCCAGGAAACCTGCAGCACAGACAAGGCCAATGAGTTCATCGCTTCCATGCTCTGCGAGATAGGCACAGTTATTTCATATTTATTTTTACCCTCCTCCGTCATTTTCATTCTCTCGCCATCATTAGCAGAGTAGCTGTTACCTCATCCTTGCTATATACATCTTTGGAATCACTCTGTTTCCCCTAAGGCAACTGCAAAAAAAAAATCATTTGGCCAAAGTACCAGCTGCCTTCGGGACCCATGTTACCTAGGCAGGGAGTTACTCCTGGTAACCGCACACGCCTCAGGCAGGCACGATCCTCGCAGACCTATGGTTGCTTGCAAAACCCTGAAATGCTCTTGCTGTGACTGTAGCGCTGCCATCAGTGTCGCTGCCTGTCCTGTCACCGCTGACCAAAAGCCATTTGCAGCCCAGAGCCCAGCATGTCTGCTTCGGCGGGACCCCCGGGGGCCCCGTGTTATAGACACGCTCTGAGCTTGTGTAACACCCCCAACAGCATTTTCAGCTCCCAAACACAGGCAGTGTGGGCACCTGGCTTTCAGCAGTGCCACATTGCCCATTTTTTGGATCTGGCCCTCCTCCCCCTTGCCATCATCATACCCCGATGAGCTAGCAATGAACTCTTCCACAAGCCTTGTTCCCAGACAGGGATCCGACCAGCTAAGGGATCACTTTACCTCTCCGACAGGATTTTTGAAAATGCTGTAGTGCTCTCCCTGATAGGGAACACCCTCAGGACCTCTGGCCTCCCCAAAAAAATACAGATTTCACTTAGGAGTGCTCATATCATAGTGCAGCTCAATCAGACAAGTTTATCTCCAGGAAATGGGGTTTGGGAGAAATAAGGATAATTCCCTTCCTGGCATTCCCTTAGTGAGGTCACACAGAGGCCTTTAAGGTGGGGGAGTATGAAGTGCCTGAGCAGGCAAAGGGCTCTGCTCTTCATGCTGTGCACACACTACCTTGACGTGGTCTGAAAGAAACATTCAGCAAAGCTCTAGCCCTTGCTCCCACCCGGAGCCACTGGGGAGCACAGGCGCAGCACAGCTGCATCTGCATGGAAGAGAAATTTGGGAGGAAAACCACATCTCAGTCAAATGGCAGAAATGTACTTTGAAGAATTTTATTTGTGGATTTATTCCTCGCAATAGCTCTGGAAGCGGGATTTTGTGATGGAAGTCTTTGGAGACTCACTATTAGAAAGACGCAAATCAAACAACCAGTGCAAACATCCACAGGATTATGTATATGGTAATTCACAGCAAATTGTAGAAGGGGATCCAGGCACATAAACAAAACCTGAAAAAGCAAGGTCATAAATAACTGCTCAGTTTGCCTGCTCAAAACAAGGACGCACGCTTTTTCAAAGGTGCTTCCAGGCAACATGCTCTCCCCGGGTCTCAATGGTAAAGAACCTTTTTTGGCCTTGCAGGACTGGAAACAAGCCCAGGATTCCTGCTATACTTGGCACAGACAGCCCAAATTGTCTTTTCCAGTGTGTACTGCTCGATATCTGTCAGCTGCTATTTTGGGCTTTCTAGATAATGCATGTGGTGAAGTGTACCCAGAAGCAAAAAGCAGAAGAGCTTTTAGGACAAGTTGCCACCACCAGACCCTAGACAATCCAGCAGCTATTTCTGCATAGCTGGCACATCTGAGCAGTCGTTGAGGCAAGCCCAAACAAACTTGCACTGAAGGAAGCTTGCTGGAGGTGCCAAAGGTGAGCTAAGGTATGAGCTCAGAAGAGCTACAACTTAGGAACTAATCCAAGGACACAAGAGAGTTTTACAAGAGTGCAGTCACGTAGGAACTGGAGAATGCAGAGCGCCCTGACTTCCAGGGCATTTGGGTGACAAAAGAGCCACAGATTCTTCCAGATGTCCCAGATGTCCCCCGACTGTCAGCATTGCCTCTGCTCTGCAGAACCACCAGCCCTTGCACAAGACCAGCCAGGACCAACAAAAGTAAAGGGGTGAAGACCGTGAGGCCACAGAAGGAATAATACAAGGCTCTGTGTACTGCTGAGACAGTAAATCCAAATGCGTTACTATTTACTCCTTCTATTTATATTATCTCACAGCATCTGTTCTCATCTTAAAAATCCTTCATGGCAAATATCCCACACAAGCATGTGAGGAACAGACAAAGCACTTCCAAATTAATGGGAGGTTGACTGGGTTTCATTGACCATGCTGCATTCACAGAACATTAGGAACGAGTGATGCATCTGGAGGAGGACAGAGCTTACACAGTAGAGGAGTCTGGGCTGCTGTGTCACAACCTCGAACACTCTTACAATGCATCCACTGGGACGGAATCAGAGCTGGCCTCAGAAAGGACACCATGACCACAGTCTGCTATAAGGTACTCCTCTCTAAGCCCAGAACTCTGCTAATCCTGAGAGCAGGAATTGGTCTCTGCAGTAAATCACTACAGTAGATTGACTTTGGCCACAACCTGCTTGCAGCCCATTCTGGAGTACTGCTTGTCCCCTGTAGTGTAGTAACTGAGCTGACTGGCTAAATTTTCAATATTCTTCTGGTCAGGATACAACCCTTCCCTCCTCATCTCCTCTAGGAAGCAGTTTATGACGTGACTCTTCTCCAGAAGAACAAATGGGACAATGTCCGCAGACTTCCAGAGAGGGTGGGCATGGATCAGTAAAGGCTGGATGATGTTCAGCAGTTCTTCAACTCCCCTTTGCTGACGCAGAAGCTCAGTGGATGCATTCTGGATAACAAACTTTGTTATTTCACTACCTCCTATGTTGCTTATTAGAATGTAGATGGCATTGAGGAACTCATTGGTTTGATTGGGTTCAAAGAATCGGCTGAGAGTATCCAGCAGGACTGGAGACATGAGTTCAACCTCATCCAGAATAAACAATGGTATCTTCTCTTCTATTTCAGCTCTTGTAACCATGTCAGAAATCTTCTTAGACAAATCTATCTGGCAAGTAAGATCACTTACTGCATTTGGACAATGATGCATCACAAAGTACTGAAGCACAAAATCATTGTCCATGACAGAACGAAAATGTTTCGCCAACAGCCAACCAACATGGCTCTTCCCAACTCCTACTGGACCATTTAAAGAAATTACCAGAGGCTTGTTGTGTATGTGGGTGGCCAGATAGTCTTTCAGCAATTCCATAATACTTTCCACAGCAACATTCTGCCCAAATACTTCCCGGTGCATAGTTTTCTCCAAGCCATCTAGGTCATATTTTTGGAGGTTATCATCCAGGTTCTCAATAGCATTTAGAATCTGGAAGAAGATAATGACAATAAGCAAGAGAAGGCAGCGTTTTGCATTGCTCTTCTCCTCTGTTGGAAGATATCGTTTTGTTTTATCTGGATACAGGACTATCCTAGACTTCCTACGTTTCTTCTTCCGCCTGCATTTATTGATAGCATAATGGTCCACAGATGTGTCAAAGGTGAAGTACTGTGAATTTTCAAAGCTGCCATGATTAAAGAAGGACATGGGAGAGCCATACAGGCCAGTTCGGTTCAGGGAAATCTGCCTTCGAAGCAGCCTCGTTTGGACCAGCTCTGAAGATTTTTCTCTAGGGAGCTCTAAATGCAGACGACTTTTCTTTTGCATCCGGAATTGTCGTCGAAGGTGGATGATTGCCCGCAAGGGAGAAGAAATAGAAGAGATTTTCTTTGAAGCAACAGGGATCTCAGCGCAAGGTGCCTCTTCTTTTGCATCGCTCTCAGCGCCCGGCGTCTCTCCTTCAGTATCACTCTCAGTACTGGGCATCTCTCCTTCCCTGTCACTCTCAGCACAAGGCGCCTTTCCTTTTGCATTGTTCTCAACGCCAGGCATCGCTCCTTCCCCATCGCTCTCAGCACAAGGCGCATTTCCTTTTGTGTCGCTCTCGACGCTGGGCATCGCTCCTTCCCCATCGCTCTCAGCACAAGGCGCCTTTCCTTTTGCATCGCTCTCAGCACCGGTCATCGCTCCTTCAGCATCTCTCTCGGCACCAGGCACTTCTCCTTTTGCCTTGCTCTCACTCTTGGCACAGGCCACCTCTCCTCCGACATCCTCCATGGCAGAGGGCAGTTCTCCATCCATCTCAGCACAGTACAGCTCTCCATCCATCTCGTTTGGTTCTTACAGCCCCTTCACATTATCTTCTCTCTAAAAACAAACAAAAAAGGGATAACATGAAATAAACCCTTATAAGATCAGGAAGTAACTGATCACAAGGTATAAGGACCAGGCTACTTCACCTTTAGCAAACAAAGGGTGAAACAAATCATGTTTGGGAACTGCAGCCAAATTAGGAAGATACCCCACCTTTCTCACAGGCAGAAGGATTATCTGTAGTCATCATCCAAGGTAGAATGGCAGAGACCTTCAGACCAAAGCTAACCTTTTAGAAGATATTTTAAGTGCACAAAAGTTCCTGGGACCAGCATGGGGTAAACGGGTGAAATTGTTTGTCCCCACCTGCAAATGTGATGGCTGCTGCGGGAGGAATGGCAAGGGGCCGCACACGCAGGAGACAGCCCGTTCCCCGAGCAGGTGGCTCTGAGGCTCTCCTCACTGAGCACCCCCAGGCTTTGCCCTCACCTCAGCTCTTCTCCCCATTTTACGTTTTGAGACATAGGAAGAGACTGGCTAAGACTTGGGAGAGCTGCAGGCAGCTCTGCACCCACCATCAGGTCACATTTCCAAAAGGTCTCAAATCCATTCAGGGGCCAAAATATGTGGCTGGATTTTCCTAGCAGTCAGTAAGCTGGATGTGCAAACTGGGCTTGGCAGGTGTGAGAAGCTAGCTCCTGCCATATTCGGTACGTGTTTCAAATCCTGAACTTGGCTGACTTGCTCAAAAAACATCCAGGACACCTGTGATGGAGCCCTCGAGGCTGATCAGCCCCCTGGAGCCCTGGCCTCCACCAAAAAACTACCCAGTGACACCAAAAATGGTTGACATTCAACAAGAACCTGGGAAAGGGCTGAACAGCAGCGTGAGACAATTTGCTGTTGATATGAAGCTATTCAGGCCAGGAAGGGTGAGGGCAGGCTGCAGACAAATGCAGGAGGGGCATATGAACGTCAGGGACTGGGAATACAATGAGAGATAAAATTCAGTGTAAATAAATGACCTGATGCATGTGAGAAAAGAAAACCCTGACTTCACATGCAGAAGGAAGGTTCAAAGCTGGCTCCCTCTGAAAGCAAGAGCCAGGGGATATGGTATATACTGCCATGAACTTATCAGCTCAGCCTTCAGCAGCAGTCAAAAAGCAAAACCTATGTTAGGAGTGATCAGGAACAGAACAGAAAATGAAGTGGAAAACACTATTATGCCACTATATAAACCCCTGATTTGCACAAATATTGACTTGTGTATGCAGTTCTCGGGCCTCATAGGAGGAAGGTGAAAGCGGAACTGAAAAAGGTGCTGCGAACAGCGTTGGAGGACCAAAGGCAGGGACCAGCCTCCAGGCAGAGAATGACTGAGTGACCAGGAGCCTTTGGCGGGGAAGAGATGGCAGAGAGAGCTACAACAGGCCTACAGAATTAAGAGTGGTGAGCAGGGATTGAGCGTTCGTCCTCTGCTAATACAAGAACCAGACCATCAGGTGAAGCTAGAAAAAGCAAGGCACAAACCAAAAATAAGGAGAGTTTTTTTATAGGATGGTAGTTAATCTGCAGACCTGCCTGCCAGGAGCTGCTGTGAACTCAAAAAGTCTGCACTGATTCAGGGGCAGACCGGGCAAGAGCTTGGGGAGGGAAGTATTGGAGGTTACTATGCAGACAAACCACGTCAGGCTCCTGCCATCCCCAGGCAACGTGGGGAAGTAGCGTCAACGCTTGTCCTCTTCTTGCTCTCTAGGCAGCCAAGCCTGGTCCTGTAAGAGGCAGGACACCAGGGAGATGGGTCCTCGCTGTGAACCAGAACTGCCATTCCTCTTTCCTTGTGTCTGCTAAATATAAGCAACGCACAAAACCACACCTGTGCACCAGCGTACACACACGCACATATGCATGTGCGAGCACACCCATAAGGAAACAGTCACTCATATGCCCACAAAGAGACCTTCCAGGGTGGGGACGTGTGCACGGGAGTAAGTTGCTGTGGAAAAAACCTCATTTCTTCAAGCATATGGCAAATAGAAAATACACGTATGGCTTATCATGGCATGGTTTCTCCTTGGGGGCAATTTTTCCCAGGCTGGGCAAGCAGCCCGGCTGTGCAGATGGGTACGCCAGGCAGCCCCAGCCCGTGCCAGTCGCTGCTGGAGGGGGGAGGAGGTGAAGACAGCGTCCAGGCAGCGAGGACTCAGCAGTGAGAGCGAGCGCGCAGCCCTCCCTCGGTCCAGAGCTCCCCACGTCTCACTGCCAGCGCCAGAGCTCCCGTCACCGCCGGCCGGAGGAGCAGGCT